AAAGATTATCGCTCGATAAATAATAGTAAAAATTCTATCGTATAATAATTTTATATTATTGAATTATCATTTCATTAAAAAATAATTTATATGATAAAGGGAGTAGAGGTAGCAACCGAACAAGAGTCACGCCATGGCACCTGGTGCCAGTTTTGTCATTAAGACTCTACTGAAAATTAAGCCAAACTATAAAGCAATACATCAGGTTTTTAAAATAACAAATTTACCTTTATATCAACAGTCCCATTCTTACCAGTTTAAATATGTGGATGGCTGATTCAATTTAATTTTTGCTGAACAACACAAACATATACCTATAATGAATGGCGTTGTTTAAACTTTTTTTTTAAATTTACATGGTTTGTTGTAAACAACGTGCTAATAGTTATAATTTTAAATTGAAATATAATCGAAATTTTGTTGAATACAAAATAATTCATTGATTTTCAAATGAAAATCCCAATAACGCGCTGAATTTCAATTTACGTAACAAGAATGAAGTTGTCTCTCACCTCGAAATTCTGCATTTTCAATAAACAGACTCCTGATTGCTTTAGAAATTGGCAATCAACTCTTGATCGTAGTTTTTAAACTCAAGTTAAACAAATTTGGAAGTTTCCATTAAATTCTTTCATAAATTCAGTCACATTTCTCTTATCTCTTCTTCAGTAAATTGTTTTCAACTAAGTTTTAAATTGAATTATTATGTTGGGGTAGTTAATTGAAAACAACTTTATGAACTTTTATGAAAAAAAGTTCACTCTAATTGTTTGGTTCTCGGTGCACGGGTTAACAATCTAATTTAATAATTTGTGTATATCTTTAATTAATTATTTTCTTTTAAACTTGGTTATAGTGATTAACATATAATTATAAAATCAACACTGAATCAACTTATAAAGTTAAAAACTTCATCATAAAAAACTTAAAACAATCAAGAATAAATAAATAATGAAATTTTGTAGAAAAAGTTTATTCATAGTAAAAAATATTACTTTTTTCCTTAATTTAACAATTTTTTAAATAAACCGCGATAGAACAGTAGGAGGGTGATTACATGGAATTTTTTTCTTTTAAAGTTGAAGAATAAGTCAAATATTGATAATTAAATATATGTCCTCAGTATGAAGAATGAGAAGTATAGTAACGAATAATTTTTAAACGTGCAGCTTCATCACACTGTAGTATCTAATCTACCACTACCACCGATTTTACTACCACCACCACTACTACTACTACTACTACTACTACTACTACTACTACTACTACTACTACTACTACTACTTCTTTTTCTACTACTACTACTACTATTACTGCTGCTGCTTCTACTGCTACTACTACTACTCTCACATGATTTTGTTACGAACGTTTCTGTCCAGTTGGAACCAATGATGGGCCACTTTTTTAAACAACGTTAATGTCGTGCAGGCAAAATTTTTGAAATGTTATTTCACACCACGATAACGAATTATAATGCAAACTTGAATGAGCTTGACTTGTTTACACGGTGATTTGAAACGATACAATTGTGTCTCAAGCAACAAAATATTCCTCAGAAAAAATTCCAACAAAATTTTCTTAGAATTTGCTTCTGCTTCATGGTTACTCGTCTTAATAAAGAGTGCATATACTACAGAGATAGGTTTCTACAAGGAGCGTATGATGCATGCACAGATTAGGTCAATGTTGTATAACCGCACAATTATTTCTCCAGGGCAATGCGAAAAATCGGCGCTAAAAAATGGTTCCTAAAAATAGATTTTCATTGATGTGCTTGTCTTCGTGCGGTGTTGTGTGCGTGTGTATGTGTGTGTGTGCGTGTGTATGTGTGTGTGTGCGCGCGTGTGTGTGTATGCATTGTTGCCTTTGATGCTCTTTATTGCGTGTTGAGATGATGTTAAATGATCATGATCAATGATTCAGTTAATAATTTGTAATTGCAATGAAAATTGTCATCTTCTTGCTAATTTTTATAGTTTTATTTCAGACATGTGTAAAATTTTTTGGCGCTAGTATAGTGAGTATGTTTGAGAATGAATGGTTTCTCAGTTGAATTGGTGTATAAGTGTTTTGGACAATTGTTTTAGGTAAAAGCTAGGAAAACAACTACAGCAGCAACAACATTTAACTGCTCCAACCCTCGGATCAAAAAATACTTCCCTACCTTGCATCAACACCGTCCGCATTATCAACAACATCAGAAAAACCTAAAAAGACATCATCTTAAACAATAATAACATTAACACCAACAACACCAACAACAACAAATCATCACCAACACAATCAACCAAACTTAAAAAGACTTCTCTTGAAGCATTAAATTCATCACTTACATCACCATCTCTACCTCTCTGCTAGAAACTTTCTCTAGATTAACAAGAGAGGGCAAAAAACAATTGTTAGAAAAAGCGAAAACCGTTAAACGAACGGAAAGAGCAGCGTCCACCGCTACAACAACAACAGCAACAAATTGGTGCCCCCGACCCGATCGAAGAAACATTCAACGAGAGTTCCCACTCCACAGGGAATCTTTCTTCGATACAACAGCACAGGATTGATCCCGGCAATTCATCCTCATGCATCACGTCTCCAACACACATGCAACGATCTGGTGAGGGAGTGTTGTTTGATTGTAAATCTTAACCTTAAAACTAGCAATCCTCAATGATAAAAGTGAACGCCACGAGCTAACGAAGTGATTTGTGCGAGAACATATAAGAAACGGCGATAACTATTCTGATAGGTATTCGGGCTGCTGATGAGTCCCCGGTAGGAACGAAACACGTGTCCAACCTATCCAAACAAATACTATTTTTTTCTTCTCCCGCTTACTGCTCTTCCTGATTCAGTGTTCTCAAACATAAGCGCAACCGCACCACTGTGATGGCAGACCATGCAGTTGGATTTTATTGCATGCACAAGCATTTGTTCATACTATTTGTGGCTATTTGTGCTGCACAATCAATAAATAGAAATGCAAAGAATTATTGAACAGAGCAAAATTGACGGCTGCTGTACAGATACGTGCAGGTCTTCGTGGCCAGCAAGCAACATTTACCAGTAGGATCGTCAGGAAACGAAATGCATTTCAGGATAGAAATTGAAGTTGGAGCACGAGCAGAAAACAAAATTGTTTTGGCTGAGCAGCTAGAATAATTTTTTGAATGTTTTCAACTTTGAGACTGTTAGATTGTTGAGTAAAAAGTACTGCTTAATTCTTTTAAATTATTTTGCAAACTCAAATTTCAAAATTGCTCATTGAAGACGTTCTCTTCTATTTGAAAAAGCCCTTGCAAAAATTTCACAAACAACGTTAATAATACATGTTTCGGGAATAAATGCTTGTGAACGAAAATTTTCCATACCATTGCGAAATGTATGTAAAAATAATTTCCACTGCAGCATTGCGTGAGCAAAACCGATTAAAACGAATTGCTGGCTGTCCTGCTGGATGAAATTTTATAAACATGGGCCAATTGTAATCTTCCACAAATGTAGTTTTCAGTTGTTACATTCAATTTTTAGCTTGTCTAGTTTAGCAAAATATTAGTAGTTCAGTGCTGCAGGTTGTGAACATTCTTTGTTAAAAGTTAGCCACATTAAAAATAAATGAACGCATAAGAAACTCTTTTTTCATATTATATGACTCAAACCTGCCATAGATCCAGAGCTAAGAGGAATTAAATTTTTACCAATGAAGATCACGAAACGTCGAGAAACATGCGACTGAGGTCTCAACCTTAATTGAAAAATTTTTGAAAAGTGAGTTGGGCAAATGGAAAAATGCGTTCTCATGCCACGCTTTAATTTTTATTTGGATTATAAAATAAATGAAAATAATGCCTTAGGAATCTTTCGCTATTTATTATTAGAATAAAATTTGTTTTGGTGAGGTTGTTAAGTATGATCCAGTAAAAATTTCATCAGCAAGAGCAATTGATTTTACTGCGGGCGATAAACAGTTACTTTCAACTGTCACGAATGGTTGACCTTAAATAATAATTTTTTTAAAAATGACATTGAGATATCAGATTGAAAAGTTTAAGAAAAATCATGCACGTGTTTGTAGAATGTAAGATGAAAAATTCATTCGAACCAGCAAATTTCATGGATGTTTGCTAGGATGAACAAAATTTGCACCATCAGCTCTCCTACCAGGTTTTCAGTATTTTATTCACCAAAAAAAATAATATTAGCTAGTAACTAAGATTAAGATGTGAAACAACTCATCATCAAGTCTAACAACATCCATCCTTCATTCACAAACAACAAACATCGAACAAAAATACTCACTAACCACCGCGTTACATTACGCTTGGAAGATATGGAACTACTAGCTAGATAATATTTTCGAAAGTAAACCGAAGATACGTCTTGGTTGAAAGGTTCACCTTAATAACTTTTAAAAACTTACATCAATCACAACTGTTCACAACCAGTTTATTTTGTCAACCTTTTGATAAAAACACAACCCCCAACTCAGTTTTTAGTCACAGTTTTTGTAAGTGCATGTGTATTTAAAAACTTAACTTGAAATTTTGCAGTATTTTGTTAAACAATTTCGATAGTGAAAAATCAATATTTTTCTAGACAACAGTGGATTCTAAAAATCTTAATAGATTTTTAGCCAATGATTTTAAAAACTTTGTTATAAATGACTAAGAAATGTTGCTAGGTCTTATGAAAACAGATCGAAAAACAAGTTGCCACCTGTCAACCATGTCTGAAGGCTTACCTCGTTACAAAGAAGTAAGTGATGAATTATTTTTATAAAAAAAATTAGTAATTATTTGGAACGTATTTTATATTTTATCAAATACTGTATCAATTATGGTCTCATTTCAGTCTGTATGTACATATAATATATGTAGGTTAACATGTTAACATTTTTATAAATATGAAAAAAAAGTTATTAGTCACTCTAATCATAACATTTTGTAAAATTGGCATTTGAAAACATAATCAAGCGGACAAGAAATTCTCAACACGTACAAAACAACTCAACAACTGCAGATCAGTTTGCAAGACAACAACGACAACATTGGGACTTCAATTTTTTCTTTGTTTGGAGTGCAGCTGTTGTTGATGTTCTTGTTGTTGATGATGTTCTTGTTGAGGTCGATGTTGGTGTTGTTGTTAATGTTGTTGTTTATTTTGTTGTTAATGTTTTTGTTAATGTTGTTGATGTTGATGTTAATCATTACGATGATGTTGTTGTTAATGTAATTGTTGTTGTTGTTGATGTTGTTGTTGAGGTTGTTGCTGAAGTTGATGTTGGTTATGTTGATGTTGCTGTCGATGTTGATGCTGTTGTTAATGTTGTTGTTAATTTCGTTGTTGATGTTTTTGTTAATGTTGTTGTTGATAATAATAATAATGTTTAGTTGATGATTTCGTTGTTGATGTTGTTGCAATCGTCATCCTTACTTTTTTGGACGTTGTTGATTTTGTAGTTTGTCAATATCATTGTATTATGATGGTGCGGATGTGTTGTTTCAGTATTTGTGGCTATTGTTATTGTTGTTGGTTTGTAAGAAAATTTGAATGGCTGAGATTGTGATTGCGATGTCAGAGCACCTGGAAGCTATGGCGAACTTGAAGGTGACAGCGATTGACATGCTCTGGTAGGGCTGATTGACATCGAGGAATTGCTAATGGGTTATTTTTCAAATAATAATAAATTTAAAAAAAATAAATAAACATTAATGACAGTAATAATGATAATAAAAAGAATAAAAATTGCAAAAAAATAAGTCTTTTATTTCAATAAAAAAGGACGATGATTAAGATAACGATTAGGATGACCGTGTTAACAATTAGAAAGCTGGTCATGCATGGTGATAATTGAGGTGATAACATTTTTGATGATGATGACGAAGATGATGACGTCCTCTGACGACGATGACGACGACAAACGCACTGGTGAACAAGTCAAGAGTGATGAGGAGCGCCATAATGAACTTGTGACGCGGAATTCAAATGTGGTCAGAACGTTTGTCTCTTGCGTTTGCATTCCACTGGGAGACTGCCCCTAATCATTTCGCTGCTTCTTCTTTCCTTTTCCTTCAACTTTTTTATTATTTTCAAAAAAACCTTTCTTCTTCGTTTTTTTTTCAAACAAATGTGGCTGCAGTTTTAGTTTTTGTGTTTCATTACATCTTATTGAGTTGGTTGTTTGATTAAAAATGATATAAAATTTGAATTTTTCTTAGTCATTTTATGTGGAAGCGTTTTATTTAAACATTGCCATTCACAAATCATCATTTGCAAACATTAACTTTTCCACTATGAAGACGACGGGAGCGGCGAATTTCACGAAATGTGATAAAAAAATAATGAATCTAAGTTGGCTGGCCGGGTCGAGCATATTCTCTGACGGCATTCAAAATTGTGTAACAAAATACTAACAACTTTATTGCTGTCAGCAGAACATTTTTTAAATTCATTCTTATCAACCTCAGTGGATTTATCATCACCACCCTCACAACCATCCTCATCCTCATCATTATCATCATCATTAATTTTCAAACTAGTAATATTTCAAACATTAATTTAACATCAGCATCATCAGCATCACTGCGCATAACAATCGTAATCAACAACATCATCATCATAATCGCCATCATTATCATAAACAACATCGAATTCTTCATCATCGTCATCATCATCACCATTATCGTCACTATCATTACAATAATCACCATCAAATTTCTCATCATCTTCGTCATCAAACGTCATCACCATAATCATCACTATTATCATCATCGCCATCAAATTCCTCCTCATCGTCGTCGTTATTGTCATCATCATCATCATCACCATAATCATCGTCATCATCATCATCAACATCAAATTCTTCATCATCATCACCATTATAATCGTCATCATCTGCCAAAGAAACACTCGAACGTTGCAATGTTAAAGAAGGGCAGCATGAACATTCGATTTGTCGGTCAATCCCTCATGTTAACACTTAATGACAATCGTCACATGTTCCATCCCATTATCGTCCTGTTAATGTTTCTTTGTTGTTGGGGTTTCTTTGTTGTTGGTGGTTCTTTGTTGTTGTTGGTTCTTTGTTGTTAGTAGTCCTTTGTTGTTGATGTTTTCATGTTGTTGTGGTTTTGTTGTTGACGTGTCTTTGTAACTGATGTTTGTTTATTTATTTGTTGTTGCTGGTTTGTTGTGTTTTATATTGATTGCCTGTTGTTTTAATGGGCAACACGTCCCTAACTTAGGTTCAAATAATTATCGTTGCGCTAAAAAGTTTTTGAATGAATGAATAATTTTTAAATCGATTGTTCACGAATAACTCGTTGACCAGATGTCTGACTTCACTATTCAGCAAACAACGGTGACAACTACCAACATGAACTTTAGGATGCAATTTTAACAAAACACAAACACATTGAAGAACATTTGACGGCATGCAAAATTGTGCAACACTCCCAACAGCAACTGACATTTTCAACAGTTTTCAAGACAGACATCTAATATTTTGCCACACCATTTCAAATCCTGCAACATCGTTTAAAGAAGTTAAAGCGATCGTCTGCTAATCACGTAACTTACATGGTACTAAATTGTGAACCCCGAAAAACCAACAACAATGTTTGGCAAGCACTTACTGTCCTGTTGAAACATATCAGTTGGATAGATTTTTGAACTTGAAGCCATCCAATCCTTTATGCAAGTGCAAACATCTTCGCCAGTCATCACAACGACCATCACACTTCAACGACATTCTACTACTTTCAGGAGTAATCGGTTGCATTCAACATATTACAACAAATTTTGGCAATTCTTATAGATTTTTAACAGATTTCAAAATAACATTAAACACTGCTCAACAACATTTAACAACGTTATGTAATACTGGATGATATTTATAAATATTTTTATAATAAAATCATTAATTTCTCGAAAAAAGTATCGAAACATGTTATCTTAGAGAGTGTATAAAGTGCCCTTCTTGCCATCAACAACAACAATATCATCATCATTATCAACAACAGCAATAACAACATCATCATCATCTCAACCAAAGTTATCATCAACACCAACATCATCTACATAAAACTGTTAACGACTTACCGCCATAAATTTGTAAAATTGAATTGATTTTTTAAAACGAATGAACAAAAAAAATCATTAATTTCTATAAAAATCTCAAATTATATAAAAAATTCATAATTTTTTATGAAATAATTTTTATTCAAATTAAGAGTTTTATTCCCAACATTCACATGACATTAAGGGCAACTAATTCAATTGCCATTTTATAAAATTTCTTTAACGCTCTTGTTCAAATCGCTTTATGGCTTTCAGACTTAATTATATTCAGATAAACAATTTGTCCATTTTAATTTTTACTTTCTACAACTGAAAATAAAAAATTTAAATTTTAAAATGAACAGCCGTGAATAAATTAAATGAAAATGTTCGAATACTAGATCGTAAAATGTTCAACATTACAGACAATTGGCTTAGCGTTATACATTCCACACACACACACACACACACACACACACACACACACACACACACACACACACACACACACACACACACATACATACAACGATACTCACGCAAGCTATTCAATCAAGCTTATGTGTTTGTATGCGAGAATTATCTATCAGCATAAAGATGAATTTTTATTTGGTTATTTTTATTAAAACATGATGATTTCAAGAGGAAATTGAATAAAAAATCTTTAACGGTAGTTGTAAAAGTTCTCCTTAATGTCATGAACTTGCCTGAACTAAATGCAAATCTATTTATAGATTGATTAATGAATGAAACAAAAAATTACTTTTCATTTGAAGTTGTTATTTTTAAAAATGTGTTACTTCTAACCTCTATGAAATATTGATGATTGAAAATAGCTTGGAAAATATGCGATTTCGGTTTACGAAAATGTTTCACAATTTATTTTGTCACCAAATTTTTAAAGTTCTGGAAAATGTTAAAAATGTCTTGAACGTACAAGACGAAATTGTGATCAATCAAACAGTCTGAGTCTGCTCAATCGGTCTGATGAGTTCATTCAATTCATCAACAACGTGAACGAACCTCTTTTAATTTAGGAGGCTCCATGTTTTCCATGTAAACTCACATTATCATTACGACATAAACTTTCCAAACAAAGACGCACCAGTGATTATGCAAAACAAAAAGACCAAATATTTTGTTTTATTATTCCTACTCCACCTCTAACGCTGTTCCTATTTCAGAGATCTTATCTGCTCATCATTCTTGTAGGGACAAGAATTTTTGGAGCTGATTATTAAAGGTTTTTATTCCAATAACAGCTGAAGACATTGAACGGTTTGTAAAAAGTTTTTTTTATAACTTTGCTAGAGTTTTATATAAACGAAAATAAATTAATAATGTCAAAGTTTGGTTAAATATCATTCTCCATGTTCTCTATGCAACATCATATTATTATTAGGACATAAACTTTCCAAGCAAATTAATTAACTGTAAAAAAGTTATTTTCTGAGTTAATTGAAATGAAAACTGCCATTGTTTTTTGCATTAACAGTTAACAGTTTAAAATATGCGCGTGCAAACAAAATTTTTTTATAAATAAAAATATTTAACGACGAAGAATGTTATGTTGGTTTATTTATATTATGAATACAAGAACGAAGCCAGGGCTTTGATTTGGGAGGCTGTCCAAAACCTGCATCAACATAAGACAATAAAAATGGAGTAAAAATAAATTAGAATTCTTAAATACGGTTTATTGTGAAAGCGAATTGTGTCTCGCTAACTATCGGTATTTTGGTAACATTTTAAAATTCCATTGGCACGAAATCAAATTTATTAAAAATAAATTAACCGATACAAACCGATATAAATGCGAATTCTGCAATTCATCAGTGTGTGTGTATGTGTGGTGTGTGTGTGTATGTAGCGTTGTCGAAATGTATATTCTGCTCTCTACATATACACGCTTAAGTGCACGAAGGAGATGTTTAAATTTAAACTAAGGACACACGTGCATCGAGTCGTCTCTTAAATTACTAAAAATATGTTTCTGACGTTGAACGACATAATGGCGCTTCAAAAACAGCATACTTTTTATATATCTTTCCACTTGCATGCTGCTGTATTTTTATTGGCGTTATTCTATTGTTTGTGTCTGTGTATTTTTATGCGTGTTGTATTTGTATTGTATTTTTTGTACTGTATTGTATTTGTAATGTATTTCTATTGTATTGTATTTAAATTGCATATTTATTGTGTTGTATTGTGTTTTATTTGTAATGTATTTGTGCTGTGTTTGTTACGGGTTGTGTTGTGAGCAGTGGTGATTTTAAAAGGGGGAAGTTGAATATGGGAACGATTTGATCGTTACTCGTGAAAACCAAATCAACATTGACAACTCTATTTATAGGCAGGAAATAAATGGTACCTGCTTTATTGCTTTCTGCTTTCGCTCACCAAATTGTAACAATCTAAAAAAGAATTAATAGAATGATAAAAATTAAATTAAATAGAAACATGTTCGATGTTTTCAAACCATCAAATGAATGCAGATAGTCTTAAAATATTTAAAAAAAAATCACCGCTGACTCTATTTTTTTTCTATGAAACAAATTGTGTTGAAGTTTTTGAAAAGCTTTTTATTTGAAACATATCTATTGACACTTTTTTCAAAAATTCTACACTTGAATGAACATGTTTGTTTCGACGAAATATTTAAAAAATTACCTGCTTGTTAATTTGCTTTCTATTTCAAAATATATGCAAAGCAAAAATAATTTGTTCATACTCCATTAAATTTTTCATTGTCTTCCAAAAGACCTACTTGCAGATTTTCGATACGATGTTTCTTCATAGGAGGGCACTTGAAGATGCGCCCTCTTGAAATGTTGTCCAGAACAGCTGCCCAGGCTTGCCCCTCTTGTTACGCTACTGCCGTGTGCAGACTTTGCTGCTAATT